CTGGACACCTTAAAATTCAAGAGAACAGAAGGTGACTTAAGAAAAGGGTTTTGAAGGCAAGAGCTACAGGCCAGAGCATGTTTCCATTTGAAACACACCTATGAATCCATGGGGACAGTATTTTTCCTCTCTTAAATGCCCTGATCATGAGCTAACCAAGCTGTCCTGTTAATGGCTTCCTTCTGTCCTCTAGCACAGTTTCACTTGGCTCACAGCCTAGCTTTTGTGACTCCTGGTGACCAAATACTCAGAGCATACTCTGGTCCAAAGCTGTTGAGATTCAGGTAATTTTTAGAGGCTGAGTGGCTATAGCTTCTCTCGTGATGCAACCCTGTACAAGGTGAGAGGTAGATCTGTCTGAACTAATTCTGTTGTGCCTCTGATCACTAAAAAAGCAAATGTTACAATAGCCTGGGCATTATGAACCTGTTCAGAGGCTTCAGAAAATCCATCAGCACGAATCTACTGACAGGTGCAGGAGGCTCTTCCTGTTTTAAGAGTCCTGACCCTCGTTTGATCTTTGTGATTTAAGGTAGAAAGTCCTAAGTAATGACCAGCTGCAAAAACTGGGGACTCTGCAAGTAGTACAAGGGCCTGAACTCTGCTACCAGATCCTCTACAAGGAGGCTGCAGCTGCCCTGTCTGAGTTCACGGCATACAGGCCTGGGCCAGCTCGAGGGGAGAGGGATGGAAAAATCACTCAAGCCAGGAAGAGACAAATCAACTCGTGCTGCATTGTACAAAACAGCTGTGGTGCTGGCACAATGCAGTGGGAGCACTGGAATTTTATTCCCCTCGCTGTTAGGGGGTGAAAGGTGCTAATGCTTTCAGCAAAGCAAACAACACATGCTCTTTTAAAGCCTAACCCTCATGGCCTCAAGATGCTAGGGCTATAGGCACAGCCTCCCTGATATTGTAGCTGTAGTGCAGAGGGACTCATCCAGCTCAGCACCACTTGTTGACCTTCCTGACGTCCCAGTAAGTGTCACCACCAACTGTCTTGAGGAAACAGGAGGTTTCCCCCAAGCTGTGAGTGCAGGCAGCTGCCCTACCTGCAGTCCAGCACTGTCTTCCTCCTTTTGGGCCTGTCGCCCAAGGGCTGCTCTCCTGCTCTGCCAGCCTGCTTGCCTGCCCTGATAACGCATCCAGCGTTCCTGCTGGCCAGCCAAGCCTCCAAGATGAAACCCAGCCTTTGGCTGAATTATTGATGCCCTGGAGTGCAGCACAGCTCTCCTCTTCCTGGCGAGCGAGAGTGGCACTCGACAAAAGGCTGCCCTGCATTATTCATCACCTCATCGTCGGCTGGGTCAGCTGCAGGGACACTTCTGGGGAGCCTCTCAGCACCCTGACCTGGCATGTGATCCCAGGATGCAGATCCTGGAAACTGGTTCAGGGCAGGACTGTTGACCCAACCGTCAGGTTCTAGAAAACAAATGGGAGTAGTTCTGCCACAGATGGAGTTGCTTGAGGTTCTCCCCAGGTATTGCAACTGCATGTTCTGCTTGTCCTCTGACTCTCTCCCAGGTGGATATGCACCTAGCCTGTAGGTCAACCTGATAAAACGAGGTAACATTCCCATTTGTGCCAGTCTGGAATATTTGGTGCTGCACAAGATAGCAATGCCTCTAGTCCAGGAGCAGCAAGACACAAAATACTTTTAATCTGTCTCTGTACAATCAGGAGGCATGAGTGTATGATCAGCTCAACTGTCCTCCTGCGTCTCTTAGCCTCACAGTGAAATTTTATTTCTGTTCAATGGAAAGGAAAACTAATGGAATTTGTGGAAGTGTTATGAAAGCAAATTCTTAGGAACGGAAATCCTTTATGGGGGAGTCCTGCTTGAGTAGCCAGACTTCATAAACTGTTGATGTTCTACCCTGCTTTTCACTGGGGACCCCAACTTGGGCAGCTGAGACCTGTTTGTTACCACTTGAAAGCTCAGATCTCCGCTTGCACCACATGAGAAAAAGAACCAGCTCATAGGATAAGCTGGTGTAACTTACCTCTGATCACCTTCACTGGCTGTGCTTTCATGAGAAGCTTCATCTGATCTCACAGCAAGCTGCTCCTGGAAGAGGTGGTCCTGCTCTCCCCTGCACATTCCTGGTAGTGCTGTGTGGTCAGGTGAGGTCTCTGATCCATCTAAAAAGTCACGTTAGAGGTCAAGTTGAGGTGGATCAGTGACTCCTCACACACAGACAAGGAGGTAGAAGTGTGCTGCAGGGGAGGAGAAGAGCACGCTCTGCAGCAGCCTGCAGTGGGGTTGTACCAACTGGCCCGGGCTGAGCCTGGCTCTGGGCTCTGGAAACGTACTTCTGGGCAGGGGTGAGGGAGACCCGAAGGGAATTAAGTGTAAGTGGAGTAAGAGCCTCCCATGCCCTTGCGCCCACTTCGTGGCATTCATGCCCGGCTTTCCAACTCTGAAAGAAAGCCTGAATAAGAGATTGTTTTCTCGCCTGACCCTTTGGAGCCACAGGCTGGGACTGAGATTCCTGCCCATCCTCCCTTTCTGGCATTGCCTGCAGGCTTGCACCGATCATGGTCTGTGCCCTCAGCCCTCTTGCACGACAAACAGCTTTATTGCCTGATTTGAGATAAGAACTGAGCTTCTGAGTCCTGGCTGGTCCCTGGCCAAGTGCCATGCCAGTGACCCTGTTATTGCACTGCACCGGGCGAAAGGCTGGGGTTACACAAAACAGTTGCAAAGGACAGTGATGCTTGAAGATGCTCCTGGTGAATACAGCAAAGGACGCCGGAGCTGGACTGATTCGAGGCTGGCAGTAGCACCGTGGAGATGCCTGAGAGCTCCAGCAGTGATCTGACTGCAGCAGTGCTGTAAGAAGCTGAGTAAATCAAGCTGATAAGGAACTGGGTTGAGGCTTGACAGCTCCAGGGCAGATGATGGTGCAGGATGAGTCCAAACTGCAGAAAGAAGAGCTGGACTTGAAAGGGAGATGAGATCTTAAAAAGCTGACTGGCAAAGGGGGACGAGAGAGACTGTTATCCTTGCATCAAAGAGTCTTGGCTTGTTTAAGAAAGCTCTTAAACAGATGACTCGAGAATTGGTGCCAAATACCTGGGAAGCCCCAGTTTGCTGCATGGCAGTGACTCAGCCCAGCCTGGCAGAGTCTGAAAACAGCCCTGGGCACCCAGCAGTGACAGAGAAAGAGAGCCTCAGCCGCTCACACGGGTCCAACAGTCGTGTGTGTGTCCCCAAAGACAAACACAGAGTTTGGGTGCAAAGCAATACAGATGCCCTTGCGCCTTGATTCTGCTTTTAGCCGTGCCCAACAGTAGCCAGGGGGCTGTGGCAAGGCTGAGCTGAAAAAAATGCCAGGAGCCAGGGGCTTCTGGTGCTCAGGAAGAGACTAGTGGAGCAAACCCTGGTCATGCATGGCTGTGTCTCCTCAGTGCCCACCGAGCTGCAGGCAGGAGCGTGACTGTACTTGCAGCTGAATATCTGTCACAGCAGTTCACTGGCTCTAGCTGGAGTCCTACCCAAACAGGTCACAGTGTAAACATACCTGCAGGGCTTGTATATCTCAGACATCTAGCAACCTTTGCACAGGGCTGGTAACAGGACTCCTAAAGGCTCTTTACCCGCCTCTCGTACTGCTTCTGGGCTTGCTCGTTATCTCACTTTGTTCCCAGCAGTTTACTGGATGTGAATGCATCTGGGGCTGTTGAGCAGCCACAGGAACAGAACTTGCCAGAAAGTCTTTCAGGAGGGGCAGCAGCACCAGACCAAGACTCCATGAAGAGAGTTCTCAGCCCATCTAGGGCTGAGCTGTGGGATAGAGGAGGGGAGAATAAGAGCTACAAGTAGCCAACCAGACAGGAGTTGTATTTCTTCTAAGTTTTAAGCAGGCTTTAATCTCTTGGCACTTGACTGTACCGAGTATTGTACAATACCACATCCTGCTAACTCAACAGTGGCACCAAAGGCGAGCAGCAAGGGCTGAAAGGACAACTGCAACATCTACAGGGGCTCAAGGGGTCTTTTAGTATGATCCAACAAGATGCTGGTTCTGTCAAGAGCAAGAAATTGTCCCTAAAAATACCCTGAAGTAGGCCAGCTTCACGGAGAGGAGCAAGTGGAAAATGGGGATGGGGTGAGAGGGAATGGGCTCTTCTCTCAGAAATCCCCGATGGATGCAATGGGGGGCGTTCAGGCCATCTGACACTGCGCCTCCAGACCGACAAACCTTCTTTGTCAGATGTCACTGCCCAGTAGGAAAACACTGAAGACTTCCACAGCTTGCTTTTCCCTCCTGCTAATTTTAAACTTAAAAGGAATCATGGAGGGAGGGAAAGTCCATTGCCAGTACGAATCTGAGAAGTCAGACATTGTTATATTTCTCTCAGTACTCTGCTTCAGAGCGTGTCCTAGAGAAAGAGCCTTTTCCTGGAAGCACCTTTATCTCAAGTCTGAGTTTGAGCCTCCCTAAACCTCAGATGTTCAGCGGGCAGCTGCCAGCAAGGCAGGAGGTGAGCTGGGAGGCAGCGCTTAGACAGTCTGACGGCTGTGGGAGGCCACTCACAAGCCCTGTAGCAAAACAAATATTGTGTATGTCCTTTAATAAAACAAAAAGAAAGCCTGACTTGTGAGGTGGTGGTGGCTTTCCTGATCCTGTTGGGTTTCATAGAGTTGGTTAGAAAGAGGTAGAGAGAGATGGCACCTTCCCTCACCTGAAGGATGCCTGTTGCTCTCCTGCATGAAGTACTGGAAGCCATGTGCACGTTTAAGTAGATTCCTCTCAACTAGTGTTTTCATACCAGATCTTATTAAAAGTTACTTATTGTGGAACAAACCTGGACTCTATTTTTATCTCAACACTTGTTCCACTCTTAGGCAAAAATTTGCCCTCTTCCCCTGAAAGATGCCTAGGAACAAAGGAGGACACCTTGAAGGCTTTTTTAGCTCTACTCTTAAGTGCCTGAGACAGAAGCAGCCTCAATGTCTCTTAATATCTCTGTAGCACACCGTGATTTTGCTTTAGTAGAACAGACCTTCTAATAACTACCTCCTTCTTGCAGTTTACTGAAGAAAAGCTGGGCCAGGCTGAGAAAACTGAACTAGACGCCCACTTTGAAAACCTTCTGGCCAGGGCAGACTGCACAAAGAACTGGACAGAGAAGATCTTGCGTCAGACTGAAGTTCTGCTACAGCCAAACCCTAGTAAGTCACCTTCTCCCAATGCCTGAAGGACAAATATCGCTTGCAGCTCAGTGTTTAAAGACATGCCCTCTGGCAGAGAGCCCTGTTGCACTGAGTTTGTGGGGCCTGTTCTTGCTTGCCTCTGTAGCTCAGAGCTGACTGGCTGCTGCCCTGCACAGCCTGGCAGTGCTCCCAAGGACTGGGGACGGGGCACCTTCTCCTGGTGCTTGCTGTCCAGTGCGTTACTGAGGGCTGCATGGCGTGGGCTACCCTGAATGCCAGTTCCAGGGGCCCCTCCTTCATCCTCCATCCTGTAACCACTGGCGGCATCCTCATTCCAGGTGCCAGAGTAGAAGAATTCCTCTATGAGAAGCTTGACCGGAAGGTGCCTTCCCGGGTCACCAACGGGGAGCTGCTGGCACAGTACATGACAGAAGCAGCTAATGACTTTGGGCCAGGGACACCTTATGGTAAGTCAGCCTGGCTAATTAAAAAGCCCTGGGAATCCATCCCTTCCTAAGAGAGCATCCCTGCTACTGGTTTTAGGTTAAGACTTGTGCAGTGTGCCTCTTGAAGGGGAGCAGGGTGTCCTGCTCCCCCTGTGGCAACCTGCCTACTAGTGTGACAAAGGTGATGCCAGCAAAGGGTCTTCTCTAGCACAGAAGCAAACAGCCCCTCTGGAGTAGAAAGCCAAGTCTCACTTCTGTGTTGCAGCACACAGAAATTATTATATGCTATTTCTCTAACTTTCTAAACTAGCCTGAACAGGGAGTTGCAGTGAACAGCTTTAGCTTTGTCCAGTTTGAGCATATTTTTAGTCTAAGGTGGTATCTAGTTGCACAGTTTCTCTAGATTCTGAATGGGAGAACCATCCGTTAACTGTATTCTGCAAGTGGAGGGTGGGAATCTTTCTCCAGCAGAAAGAGAACAGGAAAACAGACTTAGAAAGATTGATACTTGGCTATAAACTTCAACAAGCGCCTTCCTGACCACATCCTATCCTAAACAAATCCTAACAGTTGCCCCTTCCTGGGAGAATTTTGGGCTCCTTTAAACAACAGACCTGCACAAAAGCACAGCCTTAACTGCCGGCTGTCCTTGCCTCTGCCTCAAGCTTTGTTACTGCTTTCCGAATCAATAGCTGTTCAATAGTGAGTCCTGTTGCAGGCAGAATAGCTGTAACTGCATCTATAGCCAGCACTGCCTAATCAACTCATTTTTTTCTGCTCTGGTGCTTTTTAATTTGCTGCTCCGTTCCTGTGCCTCTATTTTATGAGACAAAGCTCATTTTGCACAAGCAGGTGGTAGCAATAAAGGACATCAGTAGAGTAAGTGCCTCAGCAGATAGATAAGATCAAAGCTGCACTCAAGCAGCTTCGAAGAGGCCTCGAGCTAAAAGCAGATTGTAGTAAGGACTGAAGCTGGTGCCGTGTGGGCATGGTCACCTTGCCCAACAGGGTACATTGTGCCTTTGTACCCCAACACTGGAGCCTGGTAGCTCTGGGTGTGTTGGCTGAAGCCAACACAACGTTAATTGGTTTCTCCCGGAGTTGAAGGCTCCTGTTATTGCAGGGAAGACCTTGATAAAAGTTGGAGAGACTCAAAGGCGCTTAGGTGCAGCAGAACGGGACTTCATCCACTCTGCCTCCATCAACTTCCTGACCCCACTGCGCAACTTCCTGGAAGGGGATTGGCGAACCATCTCCGTAAGTGTGGCAGCGGGGAAGGGGAAGCTTGTCATGTTACTGAAGGCAAGGAGGGCGGGCAGAGAAGGGAAACAGTGCTGGAAGAACTCACTTTCCTTCCCTATGAGAAAGGAGGACTTTCCTCTCAAAGAACACAAGGATAGGGGAATACCAACGCTAGATCTGCTCAGGTCTCCCCCTGCGGCAGGGTAGGATTGACAATTGATGTGCACAAGGCAGGGAACTCCTTTCCTGACTCTTGCAGCTCAGTGGGCACCACTCACCCCTCAGCTGCCCTGTTTCCAGAAGGTCGGCCTATATCCCTGGCAGCCAGGCCCCAAGCTCTTGCTAATGAGATGAACGTAGCAACTGCTTCTTTCTCCCTAGCATTTTTTGATAAGGAAATAGATTTGATTTCTAGATGATACTTTGTCCGCTTCCCTCCCCAACAGCTCCTAAGCAGGCTGCTCTTACCCATTTTCCGTCCCTTCCAGAAAGAGCGAAGGATCCTGCAGAACCGCCGCCTGGATCTGGATGCCTGCAAAGCCAGGTTGAAGAAAGCCAAAGCTGCCGAGGCAAAAGCAGCGGTAACTTTTTCCCTCATTTCTCTCTCTGTCCTTCTGACCCCAGGGCTTAGCTCACATGGAGAAAAATTAGGCTGCCCTACTATGTCCTGTCTCTGGCAGGCATGGGTGGGGAAATTCCTGGTCTGATATATGAGGGGACTGGGAATAGGAGCCATGTGCCTATTTGTGAGATGTCCTCCCTTGGGGGAGTTGCTGAAACAACTAGTTCTGAGCTTCCAGAGTCCGGAAAAATTTCTACTTGACCCACACTCCTGCCTCCTGACTGATAGGGGTTGTTGGATGACTTATGCAAGTAACTAAAAGGCTGCATCTTCTGAGGACTTACTAAGCTTCCCTGGGGTTCTCAAAGCAAGCCAAGAGAGAGCTGAGCTGGGAGGTGCATGAGGGAGAAGCATGCTGGGGCTCTGCAGCAGTCCCAAGTTTTCAGCCCAGTTATGATTCTGCCAGCTCAGTCTTCCCCAGGCAGAAATGTCATGGGAGCCTGTAAGGGCTGGCTGCAATCAGACTGGCTGCAATAAAGGCCCTTCCTTCAGCCTCTTTATTCCCTTAACTCATGGCGTTGTCTAGTTACAGGCTAGTCTTGCCCTCTGGGTTTGGGGAATTCATGGCAAGTAACTGGCAAAGGTCCCAGGTGAGAGCAGCGCAGCAGAGACTGGTAAATCAGCCAGTGTCCCTGTCCACAGGCCTGAGCAATGGGGACGAGTGCTTCAAAGTGCGTCCTGCGGCCACCCAGACCTGTCAGCTCAGGGTGCTCCCTGGGCCCAAGGCACCTCCTGGAGCTGGGCTCTCCTGGGGCAGAGGCAGTGTAGCAGGAGGCACAGAGGGTGTGACTGGGCACTGATGGATTCCCTGGAGGGCCCTGTTGAAGCAGATTGCCATCCTGTAGCACTCTGACTGTTGGCACAAGGACTTGCCAAGTTTTGCTTCTAGCCTGGGGCCAGGAGCTCAGCGTGCAAATACAACAGGCAGGAATCCTTGTCAGCCAGTCTCCGGGATGCACTGGGATAGCAGCCTAGGAGCCCTGCCATGAGGCAGGATGCAGTGCCAGTCCAGGCTTCCCAGGCTGTTCACCTCAAGACACGTTTCACCCTCCCTACTTCTTTGAAATTGAGATCACGCAACAGAACAACCTGAGCTGCTGTTGTGGGCACTTATCTCTTACTCGGCTTAGCTTGAAGCTGGGGTCCCCAGCTTTGGGGCTCTGGGTGCCTCACTGACTGCTGGAGGACAAGGCACAGGTGGAAGCCTCCAGCACGGGCAGGTGAAACTGCTGCCTCCGCTCTAGGCATGTTAACTCGTCATTAGACCACAATGTTCCCTGCAACATGCCTGGAGTCCTGTGTCACACCTCGCCATCCAAGCTGGCCTGAAGTATAGCACCTCTCCCAGCTCACCACTCTCTTGCTGCTCTTCCCCTCTGTAGCGCAAACTTGTGTTCCCACAGCTTCTGTCTCGTCACTGACCCTCCAAGAGTGCTGCTGCCCAGACTTGTGAGCTGCTGTTCGAGTGTCTGGGCTTGTGCATTCTCGTCGGACTCTGTGCTTTATCCTCCTTGTTGATGCTGTTTTGTTTACTAACCTTTTTGTTTTGTTTCTTTGTAATTTGCTCAGTGTGAGGGAGATGTGAGTATTGACTGTGCTAACAGTGCTGTGATTTTTTTTCCTCTAACACCTCTCATTGTCTCTTTCCCATTTGAAATGAAAACCCATATCTCCCTTGTCCCATTGGGACTGGCCCTGGAGCATGTACTGAGTGTGGTCGGTGCTGTGGCTGCCTGGGGAAGGTGTTCCAGAAAGATGGGAGCACCTGTTGGCTGCCTGCAGCCCCTCTGGAGCATGCACTTGGTTCCATCAACACTGCTTGCAAGCAGAGCTCAAGAGAGGCAGGGGCTCCCATAAAGACCCACTCGGGTTGGGCAGCAAGTCCCTCTCCTGGGAGGGAGACAGCCCAGAGACAATGACAGGCAGGTTGGTCTGGTGTGGTGCTGTTCTGTCCTCCAGGCTCCATGGCTCTGCCCATTTTCCCTATTACAAGAGCAGAACCAGGAGGGAAATGGGTCCCTTTTGACCGCTGCTTGCAAATACAACTTCTTCACGCGTAGGAGTGCAAGAGCAGCTTGCCTCCTTCATCTCATGTGCTATGACTAGTTTTGGGACTCACTGGAGACCAGGGAATGGGAGGAGAGGTTTCTTCAGTTGCTCTTGATCTTTAACAAAAACAAGACAACAAACAAAGAAACTCTTTCTATGAAACAACTCTTCTCCCCACAGGGAGGAGCCAAGCCTAGTTGCTGTGCTGGCCTCAAATTTCACTGGTGCATTTTTCTCCTTACACTCAGGTTTGCCTTGTAATTAGAGTCACTCCTCCTTATTCCTTCCTCTGGCCATCCCCAAAACTCCTAGATTGTTTTAAAAAAAAAAATCTCTTCCTGTTGGGACTGCCTGACTGCTCTTCCACACGCTGGTCACTCATTCCAGCAGGCTGCTCAGGGCCCAGCGAATCGGGTCAGCACGTATAAGTAGATCTGGGTGAGCTGCAGAGAGATTAACGTGGGAGAGAAAACGTGGGGCCCTGAGAGGATTAACAACGTAGCTGCGATACAGCTGATCGCGTGCCAGCCTTGCACAGCGACCCACAGCGCAGAAAAGGCTGACAGGGAGGATACCCTGATCCACTGCGTGGGTGTGATGGTCCTGAGGTAAGCTAGCTCGTTGGCTTATCTCTTTGGGCGATGTTACAGCTAAAGGCCATCCTCAGAGGAGGCCGAGCCTTAGCTGAGCTGAACAGAGAGAGCTGTTACATGATGGTTAGGGAGCCCACACCTCTGTGGGGCTGGGCTGGATCCCTCACATTCCCAGTGAGGAAAACATCTAGAGTGCTTATGTCTTCCTGCCCCAGGGCAGAGGTTTAGCTACGGAGAAGATGGCTTGGAGGTTTCATCCCAGACCTCTGGGATGAAAATTTACATGATACCTCTGGCAACAGCAAATCTTTGGACTAGATCTGCTTTAGTTAAGCCATGCTTCTTACTGAAAACAGCAGCTCTGAGTCTGTTTGGAGCAAATATGCTCACAGGCTTGGTGAGAGTAAGAACAAGATGTGTTTCATTAAAAAGCCCTGTGGAAGGCACTAGCATCACACTCGTACATGTGACGCTAGTGAACATGCCCACTTTAAGGACAAGGCCCCGTACAGGGACACTTCTAGCACTATAGTGCGAAGGAAGGGGAAAGGAGGTCCTGCCCACTGGACTGAGCAAACATGACATGAGCAACCTGCTGCCTGAATGGGAAATACATCTGAGATTGTGCTGTCTCATCTCCACTCCAAGCGGCCGCGGTGTGAGCGGGTAGCTGTAAGTACAGGCAGAGTTTCTAACAGTAGAAATATCTGCTGTTCAAGTACCGTGTGTGACTGCATGAGCCAGTCCACCTCTTGCACTAGCCCGGCATCCAGCTGGGGTGAGCTTCCACACACCACTGCCTGGGCTATTGGGAAACATCCCCCCTGTTATCCTGTAGGAACTTGAACTAAATTCCCAGCAGAGACAGGAAAAACCACTAGTCCCTTCTTCCATCTGTTGCCCAACTGACTCCTGTTGACTCTTCCACGTGACTCGTACATGAACTCTGTTCCCCCACTAGGCTGTGCCTGACTTTCAGGAGACTAGACCTCGTAATTACGTTCTCTCCGCCAGCGCGTCAGCGGTAAGATTGCTTCTTCCTAGATGTTGCCTCTCCAACCTCTTCCTGCCCCTCTTTCCACCTGACTTAAACTTAGACCTAGTGCTCTGCTGTTTTCAACATTTTAATGTGACATGGGCTGCCCAAGGTTCCTCTGACTCAAACCGTAAGGACGCACATCATCCCTGTGGGGATGCAGGGTCAGGGTCTGTAACTTTTGGTGCTCATCTTGCTTTCCAGTTTTTTCTGCCAATCCTTTTCCCCATTTCTAGGGGGAATCTTCTGACTGTTTTTCATTGCTAGTGGAGCAATTGAAAGGGAAAAAAGCCTCAAAGGTTAGCCTTTCTGGGTGGTTCCAGCTGTACGCTGGCAATGTCACATGTATGACTGCCTGATCAGTACTGCGGTGTCAGCACTCGGAGGCTCTGTAGCTGGACAAGAGAAGCAAAGGTGGAGGAATCTCTCTGCCACCCCTCGTGTCAGTAACGCAGCAGGCTGACAGTATCTATTCTGCAAATAGAGGTCAATTTTATTTTCCCTTTCCTCTTGGGCCCTGTCTGTTGGCAGCTGTTACGCAGTCAGATGTGCTGGGGGTGGGTGAATAGCTCATCGCGTCTCTGCTGTGTTGCACTCGGTGGCTGTGGTCAAGCAGTCGACTTTCCACATTGCATTCATGGCTCCCCATTGCACAATGTCACATTTCTCGTTAAAATGTTGAAAACTGATCATCTTGCTTCCTAAATAGCGTTCAGAACAACACTGATGCCTGTTAATAGAATAATCTGGGAGTAGAATGGCTGGAAGTGGGATGTGTAGATACAAAAAAGAACAGCCCGGCTTCTAGCAAACAAAAAATATCATGGAAACAAGTTGTATTTTCTTAATGGGAAACTCATGCCACTTAGAGAAAGCGGTACATCTGAGCCAATAGCATCAGTGTTAGTTCCCAGGGGAATCTGTCCTGACCTTCTTGGAGTGTGATGCTGGGATCAGAAATAGCTTTGCACAATAGCTAGAAAACTATGTTCAGGGGTATCCAGCCCAGTGACGAGATTTCTTAGGAAGAAGCTGATACGGGTGATGCTGTAGCAATTGCTCAGTTTCTGTCTCTCCTAGTGCAGCAACAAGCAGCAAGCCTGAGGCTCTAGCTTCTCCTTTGGAAACGTCTATTCCAAGGACAGCCTGATAATGGATTAAAACTGAGTTCTAGGAGAATCAGAGGAAAGAAACGGGGCTTTCCCTGCCTCTGAATAGATCAGGGTATCTTGATCATTCCACAAAGCTTTCTAAAGCAGACCTGGAAGCAAGTATTTGTAAAATAACAGGCATTAGCATCCTGCAGAGTGCTCAGACGCTCAGTGTCTAGCCATCAGCAAACTGCAAGCTGATCTGCTTTTGCTGCATTGCAAAGATCTGCTGGGGAGCAAATACCAAGTACGGCAATGCCAGGTGAAAGAGGTTATGGAGGGGTTTTACCCCACAGGTGCCACATCTCTGCCTAGGTCAGTGGTCCCTCTTCAGAGCTCTGCTAGAGAAGCTCTGACAGCAGCAGTGATGCCATCAGACAATTAGAGCAGGACTCCAGGAGACTGCCATGCTCTCGGTAAGCAGCTAACACTGGCCTTGATCACTCAGTCATGTTTGATGGTTGCACAGCAGGGCCTCTGTTCAGAAGTGCCTGGAGGAGTGGTGGTCCTGGTGGCTTCCAAAAATCTCTGTGTATTTCAGAAATTGCAGATGGGGGTTGAAGTGGCACCTGAAGTCCAGCTGTACTAGCAGGGGCTATCTGAGTAACAGTTGGCATCTCTAATTAACAAAACACGGGCTGAGCCCGGACCGCTCGGTGTGGGCAGGACTGCTTTGCAACAAGCTCTCTGATCCCAGCACTCATCCCAAGGGGTCAGGCACTGCAGCACGGTAGGAGCTCTTCATACTCTTGCTCTGCTTTTCTTCCTAGCCAGAGTCCTTGTGCTGCTCCTTCACTCTTAGTGTGTACTGACAGGACAGAGCAGTGGTTGCTGCTCACCTCGCTGTTGAGCCCTGCTCCTTTCTGGAGGGAGGGATTGCTTATGCCCAGGTAACAATTTTGTTTTACAGGTGAGCAAACAGGTCAGCTCTCTCCTGGACCATATACCCTCAGCAGAGCTCCAGTTTGGCTTCTAAATTTGTTGATGTTTTTCTGGAAAAGTGGATAAAGTGGTGCTTTGGGGTTTTTTTCCCTCTGTCATAATGGGAGGGCTTAGAGGGAACTAGATCCACCTGGAGACAGGCACCTCCCTTGTTTTTTATGACTTGGAAGCCAAGGAGCCATTTCTCCTCTCTCCCACACTGACCTTTTGTTTTTGTGTAAGAAAGCGTACGTGGGCTGTGAAAGCCTAAATATCCCTTTCTCTCAGACCCTGCCACTTGCCAGCGCTGTGCTCCTGGGAATAATTCCAAGAAAAACATATTGAGTACCTTACAGAGGGTTCCTCTGGCTTGAACTGGGGTGGAGGAAGTCCGATGCAGATCACATCCTTCTCTGTGCCCTGAGCAGTCTAAAACATTTCTGACTAGAACCACGAAGTGCCTCAGCCTGGGGACAGATCTGGGCAAGGCTGGACTGCCCGGGAGCTAGAGCTTGCACAGCAAGGGCAACAGAAGAGAAACAAATCTGGCTGCAAGTTCAGTGGGTACTGCAGTGATCAAATGGGCCTGGAATGGCTTAAGTACTTGTCTACAGCATCTAAGTAGGAAGGCCTGTGGCCAGAGTGAAAGCTTCCTATTGCCCCTGTAGTAAACCTTGCTCCAGAAACCTAAGGGTGTGCTGACAGAAGTCTTGTGCCAGAGCAGCAGTTCAGGCTGGGGACTGCTGCTGAGCTGCCTGCAAGGATCTTCCCACCACCTGCCCTCCAGAGCAGGAGCTCTTGGACTGAGGAGGGGCTGGTGCCCCCCCACACAGCTGAAACTGCCCAAGGCCTGATTTGAACCGGTTTCTGACTTACAGTAACAAAACACCCACCTGAAGTCAGAGAAGACACCCAGCCTCAGCACACTGAGCGCCGCACAGCAATAGCCTACACTCATAAGGGCACCAGCTACAATAACTCTATGTAGAAAAAGATGCCGATCAGGCTACATACCACAGAACAGGAGCTGAGCTGCAGGCCGGGGGAAGAAGCCAGAACAGGAACCAAGAGCGAGCCAAGGAGCCTGGCACTCCTGCCTCAGCCCTCACCAGTACAGGCAGCTCCAGCAGGCGCTCCTTATATTGGCTGGTGAAGTTGTCTCTGCACCTCAGCTACCGTGGCCCACGTGAGGGCAGTTGCTGGTGAGCAAACCTCAACAAGATTCAGCTGGGAGACCCTGGGTCTAAACAGAGCGTGTTCTCCCTCTGACACCGCAGCATCCACCGCAGGGTTCCCAGGTGCCTGCGGTGCAGATTCAGCCACGCTATGGTGAACTTCCCTGATCTGCAAAGGTGACATCAGAGGGTGAAGCTGAGGTCCTCAGCAGCCACATCCCTGACCCCACTGGTGTGGGGTGCTGCTGGCAGGCTGGTGTGCTCCCAGTTGGTCCAGGGTGATTTCTCGTAGTGTTGCCAGGGCTAGGCAGTAGGCGTCTGCCGAAAAAAGGCCAAGCCAAGGACCTCTGGGAAGGATCAATGTGTTTTTCTACCTCTTCTCTCCCTTTCTCATTGCTGTGCTTGACTTCTGTTGTCAATTGTTCCATGTCCTGGAGCCAGATCCCAGCAAGCAGCTGGCAGCGTTGTGCTGCCCCGAATGTTCCCCTGTGGGTGAGGAGAGTAGGAAGGAGTAGCGTGGTGTTTTGCCTGGCTCAAAGGCAGCATCCAGCCATTGCTTCCTCCTCGCTGTCACTAAACATACCTGTTGGTAGCACAGACTGGCTGGATTACAAACCCCATGAACCTGAACTCTCTGGACCAGTGGGTGAGGAACACTGGCCTCTCTCTGGCATGAGGTCATGGCAGCTCCCAGGCCCTCTTTGTGGGCTCAAGCAGCTCACATGCCTCTCCACAATCCTAAAAGAAGGTCTGTCCTTCAACACCAACCTCTGCAGACTTCAGCAAAGTAACCCTTGCTGTTCAGAGGCCTCTGCTGCTTAATCCTTTTCTTCCTGGAGCCCATCGAATGCCGTTGCTGTAACAGCCCTGGCAGGGAGCAGACCTGGCGTGCCACTGGCTCTGGTGGCCTGGACTTGCTCTCCCATTATGAAACTGGGCTGGAAGGTGCAGGGATGAGGGGAAGGGGTATCGATCTAGCAGCTGCTGCTGGGTGAAGGGCGAGCTTGTCCCCGGAGTTGGCCTGCTGTGTCCACGGAGCGTCCTTACCAATTGGTGTTAATGCTGAGTGCTTCTCGACGTCTCCAACACTGATCTCCTTTCCTGTTGCTCTGTGGCCACTACAGCTCTGGAGCGACGAGGTGGAAAAAGTAAGTACCCAGCTGAAACTGTGCTCAAATCTCCTGTGCGTGCTGGTGGTGTTTTGGGGCGGGGAGGGCTGTGGGCTCCTTCCCACTCGTGTGCCTGCACACGTGCAGAGGAGGATCAGTGGGACGTTGCTGTTGTCAGCCCCAATCCTGCAGCTGTACAGCTCGGCACAACTGGCTTCAGAAGAGCCTGCCCATGGGCTGGTTGGCTGTAACAAGTGTGAGAGACTTCCCAGGCAAACCAAGCGTGCGTTTGTGTGGGGTAAGAGGCAACTCTGTGAACCCTGTCAGAGGAGCAGAGGTGATGGGCTGCGATGCGATTCAGCTCTGCTCCTGTGGCAAAGGCCCTGCCTGCCCCAATTTTGCATGTGCTGTGCATTAGCCTCTAGTAGCCCCTGGCCTGCTTGTTCTGGGGTCTAAGCAGGTGCAGAGCTGAAGCAAGGACAGAGGGTTTCCCCACAAACAGCTCCGTCAAGAGGGCAAGATGTGAGGTTTGGAGCCTGACCTGGAGTTAATTCTGTCTGGGTGAGCTGCATGTACCCTTCTGAATGGATCCATGGAGGCAAAGTCCCAGATCTTATTTATTTTCTGGGCTCTGCAAGGGGAGCATGACTTGTCCAGGGAGATGGCTGGAGGCTGCTAGTGCACTAGAGACCAGGGTGAGCTCTGTGTGGAGCTCCAGCATGGTACGGAGCTTCCAGAGACACCTTCTGGGCTCCCACTGCCTTTCATACCACAAACACCTCCAGCAGACAATAGCCTGAAGCCTGAACTGCAAGATGGCAGAATGGAATGTTCCTGCATGCTGTGCATGATAGCACCTTACTGCTGCCTTACTCGAAATGCACCATCAGAGCAGACTGGCTGGTTTTGAACCAGCTCATCCTGTACTTTAAATTTTCAGTCCCTCGAATAAATAAGCTGACTGCAGTCAGCTGTAAGTATGCAAGGCTCTGTTCCTCCATCCCAGCTGGACAGACAAAAGCATGTCAGTAAACTGCAAAGTTTTCCGTGTCTTGGAGAAACACAAGGCTGGAACGGACCTCCCAGGTCACAGGCCAGTGCTGTCGTTATAGGAAATTACATCCTGCACCTGCTCAGAGCTAACAGGGAGAGGCAATGGGCAAATCCCAGGCAGTGCCAAATGGAGCTGGATCTGCCTGTCACAAGTTTCAAATAGCTCTGCTGCTCAGAGCAGAACAATAATCTCTGGGTGCATAGTAAGGCGTTGCACTGGTATTTCCTGTTACATTCCCCATTCTCCTTTAAATAATCCCTTTCATATAGGGGATGCAAGAAAATAGATCAGTTGTAGCTCAAAATAGACAAATCTGATTAAAAGACAGTCAAAGCATTTCTTTGTTCTAGCCTATCTGTACAACAGTACCGGTAACCCTGTTACCAAATGAGAGCTGTAACTGCTGCAGCAGCTCCTGCAGCTCACCCTGGAGAAGGCTGGGACTCCTCTGGGGTTACCCTGCTCGGAAACATCAGCTGTGTGACCTCTGCTCTGAGACTGTCAGCCTTTCTGGATTAGTTCTCTGGGGTCAATTCCAGGCACGTGGCTCCTGTGCCAGAGTGATCAGGGCATTTCCAAAGCAGCCAAAAGGAGCTCTCTCCCAGAACTGGTGCCATGCAGGAACCACTGCACCAAGGCAGGCAGCCCTCCGGTTCCTCCTGGAGGAGATAGAACCCACGCTCCTTCCAGAAAGCTGTAGCTGAGCGGACATCACTTCTGTGCTGTGGATCACAGCACATCCTAAGAGGCAACTGGCACATTCCGCATGGTGTAAGCAGTAACACGTGCTGGAGGGAACAAATGCGCCTGTTTGTCACCCCTTGCCCTCTGGCAGTGAGAGGGAAGAGCAGGGGAAAGAGCACCTGGCTGCTCCGACACTACTGGAGCTCTTTGTAAGGATCCAACTGGGTGTTCTGGTGCTGCAACGCTGCCCTGGTGTAATTATCCTGTTTGCTGGTGGGGGAGAGATGTTCTGTCTGTTTGGTAGAGGTCTGGATCCGGTATCAGTCTGTCTCTGAATTCCCAGTGTCTGCTGCACAGCAGCCTTCTGATAACTGCTGTTTAATCCCTCCTAGCTCAAAGTAAGTAACGAGCTTCAAAAGACGACCTGGGGTAGAAGTTGGATTGCGATGTTGAGCTCCATTGCAGAGAGATTTAGTTAATAATGGCAATTTGGTAAATGCTCCCTGTCCTCGGCCTTTCCTCTGTGATGATAGAAAGGATACAGACATTTGAGTTGGACTTCTGGAGAGAAACTTCAGGAGGTTGGCACATTCCTGTGCCTACGGGCTTAGCAAGAGGGGGTTAAAAGCACGGTGCTGGCATGGGACCAGCTTTCCACAAACCTCAGGATTACCAAAGCCTCTCTATCTTCACATTCTAGTCTTGTGGGACTAGGAGCTTCCTCGCTTGATGCACCAGTTTTGAGCTGTCATTCCATGCCCCGCAGTGATCCAGTGTAGGATCACGCAGGAATCAAGTTGAAAGATAGCCAGGGGCCTCTGGGAACCTCACCCAGGGTGTCTTGTGCCTGGTGCTCAGTGGCAGGAGTGCACATGGAGCCTTCTGAGCCAGCTGTGCACTTGGTGCCAAACGGGAGGCTGTGGAGGAGGTGGGTGGAAGAGGCAGAGCAGGGGTCCTTGCCTTGTGCTGCTCTGAACACCAGGTCCTGTTTTGCAGGCAGAACACGAGCTGCGGCTCACGCAGACCGAGTTTGACCGACAGGCCGAGGTGACACGTCTCCTGCTGGAGGGGATCAGCAGCACACACGTGAGTCTTCCTGGGTAACTGGGGGGGACAGGGAGTAGAGACTCGTGGCTCCTTTCTGGAAGGGTGCCATAACGATGGAGCCCTGCCCTGGGAGTAGAGATAGAGGAGATCAAAAACTTGGATGCTACAGCAACCTCCTCATACGACCTAGATTGCTCAGACTAAACCAATAATGAAGCATGCACAGGCAGTGCCACTGTGCTATCTGCAGTTCTCAAAATGCTTCTGAGCCAGAAAACTCTTGTTGTTTTCTCACTGGAGCTGTGGGCTAGCTGCATAGGCATGGCTGGAGAGCCAGAAGCAGCCACCGCTCTGAGATCACCCATGGGCCTATGCAACATTCCCAAACTTAACGAATCAGTGCATTAAAGCAAACTGACTCATTTAAATACTGGCCTGTGCAAGTCTGCTTCTCTTGGGGGTAGGTAGTATCTGGAGGAAGACAGTTCCCGTGCCTGGCAACCAAGCTCACAAAGCAGCTTATGGTCCTTCTCCCTCCAGGTGAATCATCTTCGCTGTCTCCATGAGTTTGTGGAGTCTCAGACCAACTACTATGCTCAGTGTTACCAATACATGCTGGACTTGCAGAAGCAACTGGGCAGGTAAGGCAAGAGACTGCTTTTAATGTCTCCAAGGGTTGCTTATCTCGTTAGTCTTGGCCCAGGCCTCCTCAAAGCAGCTTATGGTCCTTCTCCCTCCAGGTGAATCATCTTCGCTGTCTCCATGAGTTTGTGGAGTCTCAGACCAACTACTATGCTCAGTGTTACCAATACATGCTGGACTTGCAGAAGCAACTGGGCAGGTAAGGCAAGAGACTGCTTTTAATGTCTCCAAGGGTTGCTTATCTCGTTAGTCTTGGCTCAGGCCTCCTTCCTCATCCCACATCCCAACACTGGGTAGAGGTTATAAAGCCCCCTCCAAGCCTGGAGAGAGCTGAGCTTATGGAATGGTCACCGATCCTGGTGGTAGCACAGTTAGAGCAGGCTTTGCCATTGGATTCATCTGGGGTTTATACATCCACCTCAAAGATGGCATTTGAACATTGTTCCTCTAATCTAGTTAAACCTCATGGGAGACAAATTCCTGTTGCCAAGCAGCAAGCCGAGTGCTCGGCTGCAGCAGTACCCACCTGTGTGCTGCTGGCTGCACGTGGGGCGCGGGCAGGGCTGGGTTGTCCAGTACATGTCCTGTCAGTGCGGTGGCTGACCCGGAGGATCACTCACTACTCCTGTTCCCTTCTTTTCCATGCTTGCAGCTCCAAAGGAGAAATGTAAGTACGATGTTGCGTGGGACTGGCTCTAAGAACTCTCCACTCCAGCCAAGCCCTGGAGTCTCTGCACTCGCTACAAAGGCCAGCAAGGGCAGAGCTGCACTGCCTCAGTGCCGAGGCGGGTATCTACAGATAAATGAGACTGAGCTCCATTACTGGCTCTCTCTGGAGAGCCCAAAAAGCCTGGGAGCCCCGAGCTGTGGCACCCAGTTTAACAGCAATGATTGCCCCTTTCCTGAAGAACCAGCAGACAAAACAGATGAACGCAGACCGTGTGAGAGCAGGGCAAGGACACAGCACAATGGACCCAGTAAAACAGCTGCAGAGCCAAGAATAGCTCCCTCCTCTCTGGTGCCACAGTTCAGTTTCGTACTCTGCAGATGAGGTGCCAGTCCTGTAACAGGACACCAAAATCAGAATGAGCAGCCAGATGTTACCTGTTGCATAGTCCCTGCACATGAGAACCGAGTGCATTTCCCTACTCGAAGGGCAGCGTAGATCTGTTATGGCTGTTACCTGGAACTCTTGAGCGTCATCTTTGCAGTGTAACTACTGAAAGGAAGAGCTCTTTCTTGGTTCCTCATACTAGAGCCTTACTGAACTCTGCTTTTTCCCCCCCCTCCTGTGTAAGATTTTCAGGCACATTCGTAGGCAACGCAGAATCCACATCTGCTCCCGCAGCTGCTACCTCTCCTCCAGCTGTTGCTGCTGCCACGCTCCCGGCTGTGCCTACTATTCCGGTTGTGCCCACCATTGTTGGGGTGCCTAACACCGTGGCAGAGAGTGTACTGAACCCCAACGAAGTCAAGCCTCCTGCCAGTGGGACACGGAAGGCCAGAGTCCTCTATGATTATGAAGCAGCTGACAGCACTGAGCTGGCACTTCTTGCAGATGAGGTTGGTAGCTTTCCATTGCGCTGAATTTTGCTGTCACTGCCCGCCAGCCTGTTGCATGCTCAGCAAGGTCTTGGTTCCTTTTCCTGCCCCTAAACCCCCGTTTTATGGAATTAATGGAACCTTTTCCTTGACACTAGTATCCACTGACTTGCAGGGAGCTTGTGCTCATGGCTGTTTGCTATTTAAGAACATCACCCTAAAAATCTCTTCTGTGCCTGTTGGAGTCCAGCTGTACCCAACTAACAAAATACCACAATACTTAGGAACTTCACTGTTACCCTCAAATATAGCTGCCACATCTGAGAGCAAAGGGATAAGCTGCTGGCTGGAGGCCTGCTCTAATCATGCTGAGAAGAAAAAGGGAAATTGAACAAGTTGCAAACTCTTTTGTTCACTAGACCAAACTTTTGTATTCAGAAGGGATGACATAGCAATATCATGCCACCCTGTATGTCAAAATACTCAATCTAGAGAATGAAAATTCTGAAGAATGAAAAAGCAACAGGGACGTCACTGGGCAGATGGCTGTAGCTCCTCTGTTAATGCTGCAGATAGGTCTGGGGAAAGGGCTAAATGAACCTCAGGAATTATTGCTCTTTCAGTACCCATCTGACTGACCTTCTCGGCTGTGTCTGCAGAGTGAGGTCCCGTCTAATGCCGTCTTCTCTCCCCAGATGATCACTGTGTACAGCCTGCCAGGCATGGATCCAGACTGGCTCATAGGGGAAAGAGGGAACCAGAAAGGGAAAGTTCCTGTCACTTACTTGGAACTGTTAAGTTAAATGTCTCCAGGAAGAAGAATGTACAAGCAGAATGCACCCCTCATCTCCTGGCACTTCTAATGCGGATTTCTTCATCCGAGACCATTGCTGTCTTCAGGATCGACACACTCCATTGCTAATGTGGGAATTGTGGGGAAGAAGTGGTAAAACTGTTACGGTAGGGTTTGGGAAAGGGCTGATGGCACCCGACACTGAGTTTGTTCCCTACCAGTCCAGCCTGCTTTGAGGTTAGCCTTGATGGCATGAGATTCCTTGATTACTTTTTCTACCCTACCCTAGTCTCGTTTATCGCAGTGGCTTTCCCAGGGCCAGCGAGCTGTCTCTCTCAGCAGCTACTCACCAAGTTTAAGTTACACTTCTCTTGTGTCTGGTGTGGGTTAGTGCCTGTCTGCCCCTCCTGTCCTCTCTCTTCTCCAGCAGTAGAATTGCCTAAGTCAAACCATCAAGCATTCTGGTGGGGAAGTGTCCCACACAAACCCTCTGACATGTCCCAGCTCTTAAGGCAAGGAAGCCGTATTTAAGAAGCAAGAGCCTGTTACACCTACCCACCGTGTTCACCTGTGGGAGAGCAGCGATGCTCCCCAAGAGCCACGCTTAGTGTTCTGGTGCCTGACAGCCTCCATCTGGAACTGTCCTCTCAAGCTGGAACGAAATTTTTTTTGTGAAGACCAGCCTAGTGACATAGGGCCTGTATGTTGAAAATTGAACCTCACTGCAAGGGACCATGCATCTTGCTTGCATTTCCTCTGAGAAACTGCTCTTGGACTGCAAAGTTTACAAGCCTTTTTACAAGCTTCGCTCCCTGTGTTAATTGTCCAGGTGTTTCTTTCTGTGTGTCTGTTCCAGGCATGTTTTAGCCTGACTTGATTTTCGCCCTAGATCACTGATTTAACCAATGCTTCCTCTCCCGTCTCGGCAGTGAACAGACTTGGTGCATCTTAGTCCAGTAAGGGATAGTCCCGCTTGCTGTTATCTCAAATACCCCAAAATTTGATAAAAGTATCTTGACCATACACACACTAAACACTCCAGGCTGGCCTTGATGTATGTGGTGGTTTAGCTCAAAGGGAGTGCTCAGGTGTGTCTGCCTTCTAATCCTATAATGAGCTTTTTTTAACTAGAGCTTGACTACAGGACTTCTGCTGCTGTGTAACGAGTTTTTCACTCAAGTCTGATGGAAAAGAAACTCACCTGCACCAAGCTTTCTGTTCACAACCTTCCTCTCGGTATGTCAGAACCAACTTTGCTTGTTTATTGATCTTTTGCACTTTCCCCAATGGTATCGTGACCACTCTAATGTAACAGGGCACGGAGCACCTGTGTATGTAGGGCTCATGAATTTTCAGCACTTATTTGCCAATAAACAAACTGCCTGACCTCCTGCCTCCGCGTCTCGTGTGGGTTTGGGGCTGCCCTGGCTGGAGGGACAAGCAGCACTGGCAGGAGGGCAAAGGGAGGCAGCTCGGGAGGGAGCTGTGCCGCTCTGCTCCCCCAGCCCTGGAAGCTGAGCATGAAAGCAAACCCGAGCTGCTAACCCTTCCTTGTCCCAGCTCAAACTCTCAACATGCCTTCAGGTTGTGGATGTCTTGCAGTTCCTTTCCCAGATGACGCATCAGTTGTACTACACATTCAGGAACTCTAAGAAACAACAGCTCCTCCTTAAGCTGAAGTGGAAATAGGGCAGCAATATGACTTCAGCTGCTGAGAGACTGGAAATGCTATTCTAGATCCAAGACTTCTCTTGTTGTTATGGAAACTACATTTGCAGCTAATCTAAAAGCCCAAAGCCTTGTCCCTAGTCCCCAGCTTGGAAAGAACTCCTGGGAAAAGCAGCTGTTGAAATGCTCCATAGCATAGCAATAATGCTGTTTTTCTAGTTAAATGAAAGGGAATGGGGAAAATCAAATTGAGTTATTGTTTTAGTTTGTTTTACCATTGCCATGATTACCGCTACCACAGTTCTACCCTTTTATAGACCTGCCCTTGCCTATTTCCCTTCCAGCTTCCATACATACACCTTCCCCTCAGGCCCCAACATCCCTGTTCCCCTCTTATTTCCATCCCTGCTGCATTAAAAAAAAAAAAAAAAGAGGATGAACAGGTTTAGCAAAAGCAGCAGCAGCTTAAGGATGCGGAAAATGGTGTCCCTCTTCCCTCAGAACAGCCAGAAGGAAGTCTCCTCCTGGCAGCAGCACTCCCTTCCCTCTGCATTAGAAAACCACAGGCAAAATCTGTCGCTACTTCTAACGGGCTCCACAGGAGGATGACACCCTCAGGCTGTGTATTTGCAGATGTCAGGGTGAGGCACCCCTGGCTGGAGGCTGTTCCGTGCCCCTCTGTGGCTGAGGGACAGGTAAAGGTCCACTTTGGAGCTGAAATGCTGCTGTTCAAAGTGAAGCTACAGCTCTAAAACACCGGTGTAACCAACAAGCATCCACTACTCTTTGCTACCTGGCACCAAAGACTCCTGCAAGTAAATACCTAAAAGAATGTATTACTTCTCCCTCAAGTCTCATTCTACCCACGCAGAACAAGTGATTAGCATGACGTGTAACCTCAAAAGCTGTAACAAAAGGGAAGACACCCACCAGAGCTATCAAATAACAGCCCCAAGCACTACTGAGGTAGCAGACTCTGGCTTTACTTCCACTGCCCACAGGTACCCATCACCAATTTCCAATCCTCTCTGCGCAGTTTTTCACCTTCCAGTCTCCAGGTCTGCACCCATGGCTGCCCTCTGGCAGAAAGTGTTAATGGCTACAACAGGGAACCTCACCTAAACCCGCCCAGGTTTGGGACACTCACACCTCCCTCCCTGTCAGCACAGCTCACCTCGGCTTTTGGACGGTAATCGAGCCCCTCTGCCTTCTACTTTAAGATCACTTTGCTCCAGCCTGCTAGTTCCAAAGCCTCCAAGGCAGGTAAAACTAGACAAAAGAAATGGGCTAGAATATCACAATCACTTAACCTTACAAGGAAAAAGAAATAACCCTGAAAGTAAGATAATCTACCTTTCTCACTCTACGTCTCTTAAAATCATTCAGATTAAAAAGGTTCTGACGGGCAAAGCAATCAAGCGTCTCTTTACAAAAGAACTGGTAGGTTATCAGCTCACAGCTACACTGAAATTTGATTTCTTACCTTAGAAGAGTCTGTGGAGATTTCAAACTTTAAGAAATGATCACTGACCTTCTCTTACTGTCTCCATCACACACTGAGCCTTAGAACCTTAAAAGTGTTTGTTCACCTGCTTGCACGATGCAACTTCACTGCAGCCAGTGCCTTTCGTCTCGCTTGAACCCACGCCCTCCCCTGCTGCTGCGACAGACCAGGAGCAGCTTGGACCCGTGCAGAGTAATCTGTGCGCGTGGTCCCCACCATCATGTGCAGGAGAATCCTTCCCGAGTAGTATTTTATAGTGATGCTCATTTAAAACCTCCCACGAGTTCCCCAACGTGAGAGTAAGAGAAAGGGAGTGGGTGTGGGAAAGCTGAGGGAACCAACCGTTGACACTCATCTCTTCCAAGGGTGTCTGGGTTGTCACTCACAAGCCACAACTCGCATCAGTTCGCCTGGACTTCAGCCCAGCAGAACCACTATGTGGAAGATAGAGAATCCGGGCTGGAGGCTGCCGTGTCCAGTACAAACCCACGCACCCAGCTGCTGTCTATAAAGGTTTTAATATCAGTATAAATAGGGCACAGTTACAAAAAACTGCAAGACTGGAGCAATGGAATTTTGACTTAAAAATCTCGAATGAGGCCTTGCTCTTCAGAACCACTCACGACACACAGACTGCGGGGTGAAGGGAAGGCGTGAGCACACATACACTGTCTTGCCTTGAACCACTCAGTACAAAAATAGCAGTAGAAAGATGGTCTCTGAATTGCTGGCTGATCCCTTGGTTGTGCCTTAACCGAACTCTGACTGCGAGGGAGAGGCAGATTGCACCTTGTGGTAAGAGCAGAGTTAATGCCCAGCGGAAAGTTTTTCTCCTCTCTCCATCCAGCCACAGCTTTCCCAGCTGAGGTACAAGCTATAAAAATAAAGGTTTTGACTGTTCAGCACACGTACCCGGCCAAGACACTCTAGCAGATGGAGCAAGCGGGCCGCGCACGTGGGCTGATCACCGAAGAACTGCCTCTCGGCTTTCCTTACATTCACTCTGCTACTGGGTTGCGAGAGGTCAACGGGATCTTGCTGCTGATGTTACAGCTCGGTTTACACCACTGCCCACACCAGGCCTCCCTCCCTTTCCCGGTCCTTGTTTCGAGCTCTGCCAAAGATGATGCCTTCTGCAGTGGATGTGAATCATTCTGCCGCCAGTCCTGAAAAGGGAGGCAGGGGCAGGACAGAATCTATCTCTGCACATGCCGGACAAAGGCCTGCACGAGCTGAAACAAAGGCTCCTGCCCCTCGGGACCCAGCTTAGAGGCAGACTTTCCTTGGGGAGAGGGAAGAACCCCAGTGGCAGGTGAAGAGGGACCACCACGGCGGAAGTAACGAGACAGGCTGGAGAGCAGTGTACTCTGAAATGAGAAGCATGTAGCAAGTCAGCCTCTTCCAAACATGTGTCCCTCTCCCTCCCCAAACAAGGTGCTGGTGGCAGAGGAACAGGCACCAGCACACACAGCCCAAGACACCCAAGGCTGTCAACTCATGCAGGGGAACGGGCTCTGCTGGGCAGCAAGAGACAAATGACCTTCTCCCACAAGGCTTACTTACACTGAACAGCGAGAAAGGACGGTACAAGCTGCTTACCAGCTCAGAGCTGAGCTCCTGTTTCATCCGCTGCTTATCCCGGGGGTGCACGGCTGGGTCTCTCAGGTACCGGACAGCCTGGGAGATGAGCAGGTAGAAACAGTTCTCCATTGTAAACATGAGCAGAGACCTGTGCAAAGAAACACACATCAGCAGGAGCCCAAAAGGTTTCAAGGTCAAATATTCTTAGAAAAGACCAAACACACAGGGTACGTAGGAGGGAACGCTGTTAGCGCTCACGTTCTGCTCAAGCAGTGATACCCAAAAGCTATGGTCGGCAGAGCAGAAACTCCTGCTGGCCATCACAAAAGTCTGATCTAAAAGTACTGATAAATAAGCAGCAAACAAATCGCTACACTTCATCTTAGGCTGGGAGGGCTTCATACAGCTTCCCCAAAAAAAGCCCTGCTTGGAGAGCTGCTGATGGGCTGGCAGAACTCCTTGGGTTCAGAGTGGACAGCTCTGAAGCTACACACGTGCCTGTAAACTTCAGCTCTCCTCTGAGAAGCACTAGGTTCTGCTTCCTGGCCATGACTAAATCAAACAGCTTGGAACTTACTTGAGGGTTTTGGTTCCCTCTTGCATATTGAGCCCTGCAGCCTGAGGGAAAGGTTCCTTCTTCTTATCCAGCTGAGAGGGGAGAAGAGAGAGGCATTAGAGACAGGAGATGCAAAAGAGAAGATACTCCTACTCTTCAAAACAGCAGCTGAACGAGTGGTCCAAGATCACTGAACTGCTGCGTTCTCCCACACAGAGAGATGGCCAGTACCTCTCCCAGCATGTTAAGGGCCACGTTGACTGTGGCGAGGAGGGTCCCAAAGGAAGGTGCAACATCTGAATCAAAGGCTGGTGTGGTGAAACTCAAAACGAAGAGCACGTTGTACTCTGCAAGGTCCAGTGACTGTGGAGAGGAAGGAAGAGGAGTGAGTGGCCTCTGAGGCTCTGAGCACGCTGTCATCACAGTAACAGAAAAACCTACTGTGCTTTTTGTATGGAGCACCAGAAGCGCTGAGACTATTGCCCAAATCTCAAGCCTACAGACAGAGCAGCAGAGAGCGTTCTGTACTGCACAGTCAGGCTTTATGGCTCTCCTGACATGAAGGAACCGCCTCCAACTCCCAAGCCGTACAGTTTGCCACCAAGTGGCAAGCTCAGGTCATGACTGTTTCCAGACCGCTTTCAAACACTCGGGTGCATGTACCTGGAGGCGGGAGGTTTTCTCAAGAGCACCATGGCTGAGGACACAAACTCAGCTGCGTTACCAGCCTGCTCCAACAGTTACACGAACACAGCACTGAGCAGGTCACACAAACGCTCAGCCAAGCCGCTCACTGCCCAAATCCTCACGGGAGTTCCTTGTGTCCTGCCTCCCTGCTTTGTGCGGCACAACAGCGGACAGATGCGTGGTGGGGTCACTGTCTCAAGCAGGACAGGCTGTGCCTCACTACACAGACCCAGAACATCCCTTCAGATGCTGGAAACTCCCCCCTTCAGGGAGCAGCCCCCCTCCTCTTTCTCTACCTGATCGAGGAGGATCTGGCAGACATCAGGGGTGAAATGGCGCAGGGCGGCAAGAGATTTGCTGAGGATTTTCAGGAGGCTGTACTGCACCGTGA